AACTAGCAATAAATGAGAACATAGGAAATTTATATCTATTCCTAAATCTAGTTAACCAATTAGAAAAAACTATAAATCTAGTCATACAAATTAAAATTTGAAAGAGTAGAGAATAATTAACTCACTTTGAAAATGATAAAAGACTTTTAGGTCAATTTCATCTGCTTTGTTGTTCAATAAATATAATTATGGGTTGTTTTATATATAGAACTATTGGCTCTTCAAAGTTTTATGATTGAGCATAAATTATTATGCATTTAAGCCTACCAATGTAACTTTATTGGAGTAAATAAGACAACACATTTCACTGCTTGTTCAATCTAACTTTCAACCTAACTCTCACTTCTCATCAATATATTTGAGTAAATTAAACACCTTTCACGGGCTCTTCAAGATTTTATTACTCCACAATCGTGAGGTGTGAGTTAAAGTGACTATAAGTTGGTGAGAATAATAAATTTTATGTCGGTGAGAATAATAAATTTTAAAAAGTAATGATGTGATTATAAATTTTATTTACATATGAAATAAATGGTTAGTAGATATAAATGTGGGGTTGTTTTAACAAAATATAAACTCATGGATCAATTATTGTATTAAAATATCTCAAATCATGATATGAAATTACCATATAATTCCATATCATGGTTTTTGGAGAATATGGTATCACATCTCATGATATGGAATCATGAGATGGAATCCGTGTAAAATCACATGTCCAAACGCTGATTCCATCTCACGATACCATATCATGATATGGTATCGCATGGCCAAACGTCTACGTAGTGTTTTTTCTCAAAAAATCCAACCACCAACAATGAACAAGGAAGAGGTTTATATAGATGGGAATTAGGGTTCACCTTTTGGGGGGGGAGGGGGGGAAACGTGAAACCCGAATAAGGATAAGGCCCAACCTTTTGAAATTTGAAAAATCATCCCCAAGAATAAAGGAAAAAGCTGAATTTTGCTCGAATTCACCCGAATTTGAAAGGGAAAAGGGCGAGGTGGACGTCCCATATTGCTCCATTGTCCTCGAAATGCCACGCGACTCAATCCAAGGCTAGAAAGACAAATCTGTAGGTGCTTTTCGCTGGAATCGCGACTGGAACAGTACTATCGTACTAGGTGAAGAAGACGACACGTCCTCTGCTTGTAGCCATTGGAATTTCTACTTTCCGTGTATTTTGACGTTGCCGTTTGGAATCGTTTGAGGAGCCAACGTCGTTTGGTTGCTGTTTGCGCAATAGTTGATGTCGTTTTCGTCTATTTGACGCAGCGTGATCATTTGTTGCTGCTTCTTTGTCGCGTGAAGAGACATTGTGACGTTGTTGTTCTTTCGCGCGTCTGGACTGCTGAGTTTCTATTGAGAGGAAAAGAAATGAGTTGGGTCTGGGAAAAAGAGTGGGCTGATGCAGTGGAGAACAAAAGGGAGTTGGGTCTTCTGGAAATAAAAAAAATATGGGCAGCTGAAGTGAATTCTGAGTGAATGACCAAACTTTGGTTTCTAATTGCTTTAAAATTAGAAAGGATTAAGATGGGGCAAAAAGGTTAGATTTGCAAACACAAAATAGCTAGATGAATTAGAATTATGGCCGTAAAGAATTCAAAACATAGCCGAATTGAGCTAATTAGCAAATTCGGTTAAGATTCAAATAAGATAAATTAATATTAATTAATTAACGAGCTTCTTAATTTTAACAAAATAAAATAATTAACTTAATTATAAACTAATAACTAAAAAAAGATAAGCATAATTTAAACTAAACTAATTTAATAAAAACTTACTAAAATTAAAATCTTTTTGAGATGATTTTCAAAATGTTTATAAAATATACTAATTATATAAAACATATATAATAGTTAAAAATTATAAAAATGATAAAATCAATTAAAAGTAACTTGAAAAATATTTTGATCTTTATAAAATCTAATTAATTCAAATTATTTGGAATTTAAGAAGCTCGATGACTAATCTATTATGTGGAGGTCCAAAATTGGGTGTCAAACAACTGTCCCTCATTTGACTTGGATTGATGAAAGAGATCCGAGGAATATGAAATTGACGAATCCAATTTTGACTGATCATATCTTCATCTTTTGAAAAAGGGATTTGGTACGGACTTTAGGAATTATGGCCGAACCCGGAAGTGGGTTTCTTACATATCTCAGGCTATATGAGAATTCATGCCACTTGTAGTTTGATATGCTCAATTTGACGCACGATTTTGAAAGAATTCAAAAATCATTCCGAAATCGAATTATGAGGGGACCGAAATGCTCAAGAATAAGATTTAAGAGCGAATGTTGGGATACAACCGAGTTTTCAACACTGATCCCGCCTACATATCCCTCAACTTAGGGAATCGAGCTGTTTGTAGTTCGACTCAATCGGTTGAAAAGGAAATCCATTATGCAAGATAACCTTTGATTCTGGAAAAGCGACAAAGTAAGTTGAATATGAAAAGGAGGCTCACAACCTCTTAGCCATGAATGTGGCCTGCTTCACTTCCATAAATAGGATCTTGCGCGGACATAATTTCCAAAGCCCCTAGAGCATTGTCACTTGGATTAGAAAGCTGCTTCCGATGAAAACCAAATTTTTTCGGATGCGAAACCGAAACTGAGAAACCTAAAGAAAAACTCACATGCCTTCTGATAGGGGTGTGGTTTGATTATAGTGGAAGTCGCTTCTCAGCTCGCGTCCTAAGAGTTTGATACTCCTCTTTGGACTATGTCCCAGTTCGCTGCTAAGAAAAAGTTCTACGTTGTGCGGCATCCTTTTTAATGTCGTCCGCACCTGTGGTTTATTTTGGAGAATTTTTCCTTTCGGATGCTCTCGACAAAGACTGAGATGAAACTCATTAGGATAACAAATGTAGTTCAAATGGGGATATAACGTTTTTTACCGTGTTGACACTTAATTGCTCTCCTTGAACATTTGACGTTAACTTAATCAGACTTGATGTAAAGCAAATAAAGCTTATGTCTCATATTTGCAATATAATCTCCAATGTACTTTTTCTTTGATGTTGAAGTAATAAAATAGGTTGATGTAATATGTTGATAGTTCTTTTGATGTCGTTGTTGATGGTTCTATTGATGTCGTTCTTGCAAATGAAAGTGATGCAGCGGATGTTGATTTTTTGTGATGGGTGAATCTTTCTCTTACGATGCACGACTCCTTTCTCTTGTGATACATGACCTCTTTCTCTTTGTGACGCATGACTCCTTCACTTTGTGACGCATAACTCATTTCTCTTTGACGCATGACTCATTTCTCTTTGACGCATGACTCTTTTCTCTTTGTGACGCATGACTCCTTTCTCTTTGATGCATGACTTATTTCTCTTTGTGACGCATGACTCCTTTTTCTTTGACGCATGACTCATTTCTCTTTGACGCATGACTTCTTTCTCTTTGACGCAGGACTCATTTCTCTTTGACGCATGACTTCTTTCTCTTTGTGACGCATGACTCCTTTCTCTTGCGATGGATGCCTTCTTTCTCTTTGTGATACATGACTCCTTTCACTTTGATGATGCATGACTCTTTTCTCTTTGTGCATGACTCCTTCTCTTTGACGCATGACTACTTTCTCTTGATGATGCATGACTCTTTTCTCTTTGTGATGCCTCCCTGGTAACGAACGAAGATAATGCTTCACCGAGCAACATAACTGATCTTCTGGGTATCTTCTGGGTGGCAGTATCGTCTTAATCAACAATACAAATAAAAATGACCCTCAGAGTTGTAATATTCTGGGTATCTTCGACAATACAACATAAATGACTCTCCGTGTAGTAATATTATCATGTCTGATAATATGATGCAGATAACGTCCTCCAGGTATCTCCAGTTGATGGAAAACAGTAAAATGTCTTTTGTCAGGATTTTCATTTGTTCCATCTCTGAGCACAGTTGTATGTTCATCATGGACCTCACCTTGATAAGAATTTAAATGAAATAATGCTACTTATATTCTCAATTCTTTGTCATAAAAAACATAAATTTTTCCTACATTCAGAGAAAAATTGTTAATTTTGGGGAGCTTGTCGCCCTTGTGACTTCTCCATATTAATTTAATGGAGGAATATGCTAATCTTGAGGCAAACCTATAAACCTGCATCCACAAAAAAATTGTTAATTTAAAAAATGAACTGGTCTGTGTTGATCTCTTCGATTGTCTGCTCCTTGTCTTGCTATCTCCGGTTGATTTTTCCGATCTCCCGCCTCTTAGTAGATAAGTAAAAATATTTTTATGTAAAAATAATTGAAACATGAAAGAATTTTTTTTAAGGAAAATAGATTTTCGAAAAGTAATATTTGGGAAATGTCACTGCCAAATGTCAAGTCACATCAAGCTTAGCGAACGCCTTTGAAGTTAATACTTCGAGGTCTGTCGATTAGTTGTTGGGAAGTATTCAAAGTTGTTCCCACCGCCAATGAACCTTATTGAAAATTTGAGGTCATCTTCAAAATTTTCTGTCCAAGTTAACTGTTTGGGTGTATCTTTAACTGTTGATGAACAAACCATGTAATTTTTTAGATCCTCTCAAAAATTCTGTCCCAGTTGCAATTCTCAATGTAACTTCAGTCTTGACTTGTTGGAGAGATCTTCTTCTTGAGAATTTTTTGGTCCCTCTCAATTTTTTTTTCCAGTTTCTATTGTAAAGAAAAAATAGAAATCTTACGGGAGATATGATTGAACCGTTGTGGCACCTACGTATCCCGTTGAAGCAGGAATCAGGTCAAATGTAGTTCCCCTTTCTAAGGATTAACAAAAATAAGGAAATAAAACAAGGAACCGATCGAGGTCAACATAGGCCGCCTATGTATCTCATTCTTGAGAATTTAGGTCAAACGTAGTTCATTACAAAGGGGTAAAGTTCTAAACAGAAACGATTACAAGCAAATAAAACAATTACAAGGAAATAACAGAAATACAGACTAAAACTTCACACATAATATCTTTTGACAGCATCTAAGTTGATCGGTTTCGGTCATTCAGTGCTATCTATCTCTGACATGACCAAGACACCTCCGGATAACACTTTACGAACCATGTAGGGTCCTTGCCAATTTTGTGCGAATTTCCCTTTGTACTCATCTTGATGAAGGAAAATGTGTTTAAGGACCAACTGGCCAATTTTGAATAATTTGGCTCTTACTTTCTTGTGGAAAGCACAAATCATTCTTTGTCGATACAGTTGACCATGACAAACAACAACCATTCTCTTCTCAGCAATCAATGTTAATTGATCAATCCGCTTTCGAACCCAGTCAACATCACTCAATTCAACTTCTTGGATGATTCTCAATAAAGGCATTTCAACTTCGGCAGGTATAACTGTTTCTGTTCCATATACTAATAAGTATGGAGTTGCTCCAATTGATGTTCTGACAATCGTTCTGTATCCCAACAAAGCATACGACAGCATATCATGCCAGCCTCTGTGATTGTCGATCATTTTCCTCAAAATCTTCTTGATATTCTTGTTGGTGGCTTCTACAACTCCATTCATTTGGGGACGATAAATGGTTGAGTTTCAATGAGTAGTCTTGAATTGTTCACATATCTCTCTTATCAAGTGACTGTTGAGATTTTCTCCATTATTGGTAATGATGGATTATGGTACTCCGAACGTACATATCAAATTATTGTGCACGAAATCAACTACAACTTTCTTGGTCACCGACTTATACGAAATTGTTTCCACCCACTTGGTGAAATAGTCAATGGCAACCAAAATGAATCTGTGTTTGTTAGTGGCGGCTGGCTTCATTGGACCAATGACATCCATGCCCCAAGCTACGAAAGGCCAATGCGAACTCATAGCATTGAGTGCACGAGGCGGCACTCGAATCAAATCACAATGCACTTGACATTTATGACAATTTTGCACAAACTTGCAACAATCATGCTCCATAGTCATCCAAAAGTAACCGGCTCGGAGGATTTTCTTCGCCAAGGTAAGCCTATTCATATGAGTACCACAAACTCCAGCGTGTATCTGTTCCATAAGCTTCGCAGATTCACTAGTGCCAACGCATCTGAGAAGACCTAAGTCTAGAGTCCTCACTTCAAAAGAAATTATTAGTCATACGACGTATTGATTTCTTCTGGTTGAACGTTGCATTCTCAGTTTAAGTCCCGATCTCCAAATACTTCTTGATGTCAAAATACCAAGGTAAACTATCTGGTTCCGCTTCAACATATGAACAATAAACATGCTGCTCATTTATCTCTATATCCACTGGATCAATGTAACTTGTATCTGGATGTATAATTATTGAAGAGCATCGACTAACTCATTTTGTGTCCTAGGAGTGTGTCTGAATTCAATCTTGCAAAATGTCTTACACAACTTCTATATATACTGCACCTACGGTGTGATCTTTGGGTTCTTCACGGCTCATTCTCTTTGAATCTGATGAATCAACAAATCTGAATCTCCAATAACCAGAAGCTCATGAACATTCATGTCGATGACCATCTTCAAACCAAGGATGCAAGCGTCGTATTCTGCCATCTTGTTCGTGCAATCAAATTAGAGTTTAGCCGCCATAAGATAGTGCTGACCAGATTCTGACACTAAAACTACCCCGATACATTTCCCTTGGTGGTTTGCCGCTCCATCAAAGAATACTCTCCAACCACAGTATGCTTCAAAAATATCACCCACAAATGCTATTTCTTCATCGGGAAAGTTAGTCTTTAGCAGTTCATACTCTTCATCAACTGGATTTTCCGCAGGGTGATCAACCAAGGCTTGTGCCTTTATCGCTTTTTGAATCACACACACAATGTCAAACTCACTAAAAAACATTTGTCATTTAGCCAACTTCCTGTTCGACATTGCTTTCTGGAAAATATATCTTAACAGGTCCATTCTGGAAATAAGGTATGTGGTATAAGAAGACAAATAATGTCTCAACTTCTGAGCGATCCAAGTCAAAGCACAACATGTTCTCTCCAAAAGAGTGTAATGGGCCTCATATGGAGTGAATTTCTTGCTCACGTAATAAATGGCTCAATCCTTCTTCCCAGTTTCATCATGTTGACCAAGAATACATCCAAATGTGTTATCCGAGATAGACATATGTATCAACAATGGACTCCCTTATCGTGGAGGAACTAACATCGGCGGATTGGACAAATAATTCTTGATGACATCAAAAGCAGTTTGACATTCTCCGGTCCACTTTATCAGGGCATTTTTTTCAACAACTTAAAGATAGGCTAGCACACTACGGTGGATTGAGCTATGAATCGGCTAATATAATTCAACCTTCCCAAGAAACTCATCTCTTTCTTAGTCTTCAGAGGAGGTAACTCTTGAATCGCTTTGATCTTAGAAGGGACAAGCTCAATGCCCTTCCTGCTGACTATAAATCCAACAACTTACCAGCTGGCACTCTAAAAGCACATTTGGCGGGATTTAACTTCAAATTATATCGACGTAGGCGATCAAAGAACTTTCTCAAGTGAGTCAAGTGATCCGAACTCTCACGGGATTTAATTATGACATCATTTACATATACCTCAATCTCCTTGTGAATCATATCATGAAAGATGGTTTTCATAGCCCTCGTATAAGTAGCACTAGCATTCTTGAGGCCAAAAGGCATCACCCGATAATGATATACACCCCAAGGCGTAATGAAGGCTGTCTTTTCTGCATCTTCTTCATCCATCAGGATCTGGTGATAACCCGCATAACAATCCACAAATGACTGCATCTCATGCTTGGCACAATTATCAATAAGAATGTGAATGTTTGGCAATGGAAAATTGTCTTACGGGCTAGCTTTGTTGAGATCTCTATAGTCGATACAAATTCTAATCTTTCCATCTTTCTTGGTGACCGGGACAATATTGGCCAACCAAATTGGAAATTGCGTCACTTCCACCATTGGGACTCAATCTGCTTTGTAATCTCCTATTTAATCTTTGAACTCAACTCTGGCTTGAATTTCTGAGTTTTCTGCTTCACTGGAGCAAAATTTGGATTGATCGGCAGTTTATGAGACACATTGTTCGTACTTAGCCCTGTCATATCTCTATAAGACCAAGCAAATACGTCGATGTATTCTCTCAGCAAACGGACTAGGTCCCTTCTTTGAGCTTCAGTCAAATGGACGCTGATTCTCACTTCTTTAACACAATCCTCATGTCCGAGATTCACAGTCCCATTTTCTTCCAAATTCGGCTTGTGTTGATTTTCAAATTGTCGAAACTCTTTAGCGATAGGTTTGGGTATCACATTTTCTTCTTTGTGATCCACATTCATCATCGTCTGCCTCATTTTGTTCGTTCGGCTCGTGACATGACATTACATTGGCAGGTTTTAAATTATTATTACTGAAATCATAAACGAACAAAGTTAGAAAAGTAAAATATAACCAGCTAGGTAAATGAACAATTTTTTGATAAAAAAGACTTTTCATTTAAAACTTAAAATAGGCACAAACTTTGGCCATGGCCCAAGGCCATTCTGCCTTCTTAAACATCACGAGGGGAATTTAAAAACTCAAACAAGTAAAAAATTCATAAATGATGGGTCTCGGGCCTCTTCCGGACTACTACCGATTTTTAAAAAAAAACATAAACACATATTCTTTCTACCCAGATGAGTGGGGAATCAGGAGTGGTGTGAAGGTCCAATTTTGCAATTACTCATCTAGTTCTGCATCACGGATGCCTGATGTCCCAGCGTCTCCCTCGATGATTGCATCAATCTCCTCAAAAAGGCCACAGATTCCTTTCTCGAGACCACCGTCATTGACATATTCTCACACCGAGAATGACTGGTACAAATGAGGAATTGGCCTGACCAACGCTCGATCAACACTCTTGTTCATCACCTTGTCTTCATCATTATCTATGGGGTCATACCCCAAACCAAACTTTGCTTCTCTAGCGAGAATTTGAACAAGCTCAACAATTCCTTGAAAGCGCTAACCTAATCCGAAACCTAGTTTGAAACCACTCCGGAGCATAACAGTAGCTATCATCTTGTACACAAAAGGCATAAGGGATTGTGGAGCCAAGTCATCACCGTTGGCATTTACCAACTCCATCGTGTAGAAATCACAACCTTGAGAGACATCATCAACAATCGGCGCATCCCCATTGGAGTGGCTCCCTTCACCATAAATGACCAATTCCTGGTCCTTCCAAACAAATTTCATTAGTTGGTGAAGGGTAGAAGGTACGGCCCCGGCCATGTGGATGCACGGTCTTCCCAGAAGCAAATTGTAACTAGTATTGATATCTAACACCTGAAACTCCACATTAAATTCTGCAGGACCCATCTGAATATCCAAGTTCACTGCACCCATCGTGTCACTTTGCTCTTTATCGAAAGCCCTCACATTGACTTGGTTCTGGTGAACCTTTCCCAAGTCGAAGTTTAACTGCTTGAGAATTAAAAGTGGGCAAATGTTGAGATCGGATCCGTCATCGACCAAGATGCAATTATAATCTTGTCTCGACACATAATGTGACGTGCAGAGCTTTGTTGTGCATCCTGCCTTCAAAGGGTAGCTTTTCATCAAAAAAACTGATGCGGTGTCCTTGAATGACTTAGCTTATCATGGCAGTCAAATTATCACTGTTGATACCCTCAAGCACATAAGTTCATCCAAAGCCTTCATCAAAGCTTGTTTATGCAGTTATGAACTCATCAACAAAGCCCACACAAAAATCTAAGCTTGTGTTTTCTCCAGATGCTTCACGATCGAGTAATCTTTTGGTTGCATTTTTCTCCAAAACTCTTCTACTTCAGCTTCACTAATTAGCCTCTTAGACTAATCCTTCTTCTGCACTCCCTGGGCTAACTTTTCTGGTGTGTAGCATCTTCCCGATTTAGTCATACCCTGGGTAGCAGCCGCTTCAATTACAAACTTCTCTTGAGGGGGAATTTCTCTTGGCAACAAGGCAACAAACTTCTGAGGTGTCATAATTATAAATTCCTTCTTCTCCTTTATGGACAACGAGGCCACAACTCTCTCAAGGTCATTTGGCCCAATCGAGACAATCACCTTTGTCGTGCACCACTCTTCTTCTGTCTCTATCATATTGATATTGATGCCTCCACGGTTCAGAAGAGGATTACTGTTGATGTTGGGTGTAACAGTTTGAAGAATGACTACTCTCTGGTCGATTAAGTCCTGGATCTTGTGCTTCAAGTTAATACAATCTTCGGTATCAGGTCCAACACAATCAGAATGATATGCGCACCTCTGATTCGGTCTGTAAAACCTTGAGCTAGTGTCAACCGGTTTGGGTCCAAATGGATGCATAAGGTCTGCCGCAGTCAATCGCTCGAATATCTTTGTTTGGCTTTCAATGAGTGGAGTAAATATTCTAGCGGGCTTCTTCTCAAACCTTAGACGGGGATTGTAATTGCCTTGTTGAGGGGGAGGCATTTGTCGATAATTTGGAGCGTTTGGACAGATGACTTGATATCTTGGGTATGAATTGGTTTGATAATTTGGCTGTGGAGCTTGGTAATTTTAA